TTCTTCAAAGTGCAGTTCAACTGACTTGCTGCTCCGGCAACATCGGTCAAACTGTCCTGCCCTCCATGGCCAGTGGCGACTGATCCACCAACTGAGGCGGAAATCCGCAAGGAACTCCATCTCTTAAGGTGCTACAAATCACCGGGTTCAGATGACTTCCCTCCGGCCCTTTTTAAAGATCGTAGTGACTTACTGGCTAAGGAACTGACTGTGTTGTTTACAAAGGTCTGGGAGCTAGAGAGTGTACCTGTAGTGGCATTGGACAATAACCACACAATCTCCAAAGCTGAATACGAGATTACTCGGAAAATAGATATTCAATATTTAACGCGGAGAAATACCTAACGATGGAGAAGGCGCAGACAAGGAATTGAATGAGTTGGAGTTGATCGAATGGCATGGCTCGGCCATGCAGGCGTGGTCCCTGTTATCTTATATCTTTTAACCATATTAAATATATTGTCCTATCTCTAGCCTAACCTTGTTCTCCATCATGTATTGGTAATTGTTATGATGCAATGAGTTGGTGTAGACGATGATGTGACTTCCACGTAAGATCTTATAGATTATGCAGTTATATCATGACAAGTCTATAATTTTAGGATTAGGTCTATTATTAGAGCAGTACTAATATCATAGTAGACCATAATTATACATACCAACGTCATGGAGTGTGTTAATAGTTGTCCCTATCTTTAAAAAGGGTTCACGTCATTTCTGTAACAACTATCGATGGATAGGTCTACTTCAGACTGCGTCCAAACCATTGGCTTCTGTCATACTTCGTAGACTGTTCAAAACCGGAGAAAAATTGACTCGCGAGGAGCAGGCTAGTTTTCGTTCTGGTCGATGATGTATTGATCATATCTTCACCCTCTGCCAAATGTCCTCTGGGATTGTCTATTGAAAAAGGGTGTGCGGGGGAAGTTTATCAACTTTCTAAAAGCCCTATATACAAACACCTCAGGCAGAATGAGGGCATACAACCACTTCTCCCCATTGTTCCATTCGAGCAGTGGGGTTAGACAGGGTTGCCCAATCTCACCATTCTTCTTCAACTATGCCATCGATGAAATTCTGGAAACAGCTCTCATGGATGTAGGTAATGGTAGTGTGGATCTACTGCCTGGAGAAAGACTTCTCAATCTTGAGTATGCAGATGATATTGTCTTACTGTGTGATAATACCCAAGCCATGCAATCCACACTTAATCAGTTGGCAATCAGTGTCCGTAAGTATGGTATGTGCTATGCACTTTCGAAGTTCAAAGTACTTCTACAAGACTGGCAGGATTCTAATCCTGTGTTTACCCTGGGTAATGAACAAATATAAGTATTCGAGAAGCTCGTGTATCTGGGTAGCTGCATAAGTGCTGGTGGTGGCGTGAGTCATGGGATCAATGCACGTATAGTGAAAGCCAGAGCGGCTTATACCAATCTGGGCCATCGTTGGCGCCTTCGTGATGCTAGTCTGGCTGTAAAAGTTCGGGTCTACAACGCGTTGGTGAGAGCAGTTTTGCTCTATGCTTGTGAAACCTGGCCTCTCCGAGTTCAGGATGTTAGACGACTCTCTGTGTTTGATCATCGCTGTCTCCGAAGGATTGCTGACATCCATTGGCAACACCATGTTAGTAATGCGGAGGTTCGGCATCGTGTGTTCGGGCACAGAGATGATAATCCAGTTGGTGTCACCATCTTGAAACATCGACTTCGGTGGCTTGGACACGTTCTACGAATGTCTTCCCAGAGAATTCCACGTTGTGCATTGTTTGCTAACTCTGGGTCTGGTTGGAAGAAGCGGAGAGGTGGTCAGTGTATGACATGGTGTCGTGGGATGAAGAAGAGCTGCAAAGGACTGGCTTGTGTTGGTCCTTCTCGACTCCCTGGCTGGGGTCCGAGAGATGGTGTGACGCAGTGGCTAGAGACGTTATCAGATATGGCTCAGAATAGAAGCCAGTGGCAATCCTGCTGTAACTTTCTTTTACTTTCTTCATAAAAAATGGTTGTTTCTTCCTTGACTGAAAGAATTCTTCTGATTGTACTTTTCCATTTCCCCCATTATTACTATTATTATTACACTACCTTACACTGATCTGTGGTCGTTATTGTTCTTTTTTCTTTTTACACGCACCTTGTATTTTTTTTATCTCTTCCCATTCTTATTATTATCACGTGGCGCATATGTATGTGGTGCCTTCTTATAACAGTATTTGTGTTTAAATAAATAAATAAACTCATGGATAGTGAAGGATATTATTAAGAGTGCTATCCTTCGCAACGTACCTCGAGCAAAACTCACATCTGGAAGGAGAAAGCTGTAGCTTAAGCAAGGAACAAAATGACTGTTACGTGTAGAAAATATGGTGTGGGACATTGAAAGTTTCAATGGAGGATTTTGACTGTATAGTTTACTTGGTATTAAAAGACATTTGCAACGCCACAGATCGAAAAGACAAGAGATATTTCTGAATTAAACCACCATCTTAAGTACAAATTTATTCAAAATTTATAGGTTCATGACTCAACGAAAAAACACATAACAGGTGACTTGTGCTGCTGAGTAGGATAGAGGTTTCGGACTTACAAACCTAGAGATGGAAAAATCTTTCATGTCAACTCCACCGACTAACTAAGCCAGGAAACCACTGGCGCGGAATACTTCTTAAGTGTAGTCCTAGCTGATGATGCGGGGAATACTTATATAACTCCTAAGCTAGCTACGAATAAAATAAAGTACCTCTTGTAACCCTGAGACAGTGCACATAAGTCGCCAGTACACCGGTGTGTGAAAAGCACATGTTTACAGAAACTTTCGAAATAATGAAGTCAGGAGATTCTTTCCGATATTCAAACGAGGAGAAATAAAAAACTGGTGTGGATGATTCACCAAATTACCAACACTTTCAAAGATAATGGATGAATGCACCAATCACAGAATGCGGTAACAGATTGACAAATCTGTTCCTTTCAAGTAAGCTAAAAAGTGATTCTGGAAGGTATTTTCAAGAGTTCGAAATTTCTTCACAGCATGATAGAGCTGGATAACCTTTTGGTTTCAAAAACACCGGTTCACGTAATATTCTTCGACCTCTCTGGATCCTTTGATGTATATAGGCAAATTTGAACAGATGGGTTACGCTGACATTAAACTTCTCGGGCACGATAATCACACAGAAAACCGTGTGTTGAACACTAATTTGTGCAGAATTCCAAACATCTTGAAGATCTTAACTTTAGGAGTCACAAAAGAAACCATTTTAATCGCATTTTTCTTCTTGATCTTCATAAATGATCTCACAGACACATTTAGCTCGTCGATTCCCGTACATTCTGACAATGCTTAAATGTGAAGGTCTATAAGGTGGTAAACATATCTTCAAAAGGACTATTAGTTGAAATTCAGTCCATCAGAATGTCACGTAGCGAACATTCAGCCACGTGGTGGACTAACAACTAGAGTTTTTTATTAAAATTCACGCGCACTGGTCTCCTCAGAGCGTGATCTTGTTCCAGCAACCACAAAGATCAAGGACACTATTTTAAAATATATTGTGGTTGCAGTCGATGGAAATGCAACACTACTATTTATGAGAAGACATCTTGGTGCAATCACCCCAAAATAGTTTCTCATATTGATTAAAATGTGCTCAAGACCTCAACTCAATTTCCATAAAGTTGCTTCCTCCATCTCTTCGAAACAGACATAAATCTCTTAGGTCAAGTACAGAGATGAGCAACCAAGTGGGTGATAGGGCTAAAGAATAATTATTACGAAGACCAATTCCGACACAGCATTATTCCCAGTGAGGTGTAGGAGAATTATAGGTAATCTTATGATGGCATCGAACATACTATGTACGTCAAGCAACTCTATCACGAACAGTCTACTAAAACACCACTATAATGCTCCCCGACGCAACCTTTGAAAAATTGCACATCGAAAGGCAAAATTTCAGATAGCTCCCACTTTTTCTCAATGAGAGCTGCTTTCACTTGGAACGCTCTTCGGGTCAAAATAACTATAACCCCTTCAGTGAATTGGTTGAAATGGAGACTTGAAAAACTCGTGCTCACCCACGGATCACCATTTCCGCTTGGGTAAGCTGTCTGATGAGTTTTTCGTAACTTACCTACTGTTATCATTATCACATATTATTGACGACTTTCTGTCTCGCCTATTATCAACTCTTGCTATTATCCCCATTTCTATTCCTTCACCTCGGCCTGCTCATACTGTCTGCATTGCCGATCGATCAGCTTATTTATTTATTTAGTTCTTGAGACAAGGGTCTCCTCTTAGTATTGGAGTTTTTATTTCCCACTGCAACGAACCAACCTCTTGCCTCGTAAGGTGATACTTATTGCTTACAGAAACCCTGCTACCGTGACACAAACCCACTTGTTCAGATTCGAGGGTACGTAAATCCACAAATAATTACCAAACTAACTAGAACTTGTGAATTCAAGTAGCTTGACTAAAAACACTGGAAATTACCAGGGAACTGTATGCGCATCAATTTAGCAAGATGAGAACGAAAACGTATAAATCCGTTTAAATAGGCTCGTCATGAAGATATTGGATATGCTTGCCATTACTTTTGGAGTGTTTGTTTGAGAGTCATCGTCCTTTCTCCTCAAGGTATTGTAGCGGTAAATAAATCCCCAAAATAAATGTGTCATCTTCAGTAGCTTGTTGTCTTTTGAAGCTCATCGTACTACTTGTTTCAGACGATATGCTCAATTTTCCGTCTTACGATAAAGCATATTTCTCGACCTCATGGAAAAATCAAACGAAGGCTGTGAGGTTCACTAGAGCAAATCGAATCACAGATCAAGTTACGAAGCAACAATAGAGCTAAAGTATACACTACAAAACAGAGAAGGCTAAATTAATGCTTTGTGCAGTTGCTTTGTGCTTTTTAACACAGCGAAAAACCACTTCAACATGAGAGAATTTAGTACTCATACAAACCTACAAACCAACGATAATGGAAAAATGATATGATCACCTCTTTTAAGGTTGTTCAAGGTCGTTGAAACAACGGCGGGCGACTTTGAAAGGATTTGACGTTTTTACTCTGACATCCACTGACTAGTGTATTTCAACTCAAACGTTCATCTAACTTGCTGACCAGATACATATAAATCATACTGAACTGGTTATCACCATCAAACAACTCCTACAAATGAATTTTTTAACATACATATTTGTCTACTTGTTTCAGGTGATATATTCAATTTTCCGTCCTATGATAAAGTATATTTCTCGATTAGTAACAGGGAGGTGTGAACTAAGTCGCATAATTGCTGATTGTCCGAAAGGAGCACCCAGAACTGTCAGAATAGGTTGGTTTAGCTTGAGTGTTGTGTTGATTGTATATAAAAGAAAACTCGCTGAGGAATTCAAAAAATAAATCTATTCAAAATGGATTGCTTTTGGGAAAATGTACAGATGCTAAGTCACATGTGCAGCTTGTCATTAGTGCTAAGCGTATCGATCTAAAAGATCAACCAAAGTATTATCATATACACAAACTTATGCCAGTTTTCCTACCGATTATTTGTACTGCATCAGTCAAATCAACTCTTATCGGGAACTAATAAATACATTGGATGCCTTGAAGTGTACTGCGTTTAATTCAGATGATCACTATCACTTCGAATTACTTTCAAGGGTAGTTTTTCTCATAAGTGACTTGAAGTTTTGTAGTTATGGATTTGTCTTGATTCTCAAAACGAATTGTCATCCCATAATGGAGAGAAGTGGACTCTTCTTGGATTTCAGACGGAGAATCCCGAGACGGATTTCCGCGGAATGGGTATACTGTCTCTTGAAAATCTTGTGTAAGTCGTACTTAGTTGGTCAAAACTAGTCATAAATTTAGTGATTATATTTTTTCAAAACTCATCTTAATGAAATTTAAAGGTTCTTCGTGTAAAGTAACTGATTTGCTCATGTGACACTGATATATGTGAAAGCGATCAACGTATGACGATTTTCAGTCTTATCATTCAGCATTACTAATCCCTTATTTTTATGTAAAATCTACACTTATGTAGTCCACATTAGATTCGACAAGTTAGTCCTAGGTATCCAGAGTCACAAGGTCACGTTCAAGTGTATGGCAGGTTCTACGCTGATAATAATAGACTAAATCTTTATGGTCACCCACTTTTTCATTAGGGTTAGAACTCTTAACATAGTAAGACTAGCATTCGCTATCTCCATCTATGGGGTGAATAAGTTTTTTTTCTGCCGTTTCTGCACGTAGTGATTGTGTTTTTTAAACCCGTACTACAAGGTTTAAAATGACGAAAGTAAACAATTGTTAAAACTGAATTGGGTATGGTAAAAGGGTCATTTTTCGAACGCCGGTTGAAGTTCATAGTGTTATACTACGGTGGTGTTATGTGAGTGAATTAAAACTTAATGTGATCTTTCTTACATCCACTTTAAAACTAGTAATTTGTGAACTCATGTCATAAACTTTCTGAATCCCCATTCGTTTCAACCAAATACACCAGTTTTTATTCGTGAGTATATTTCATTAAAGTGTAGTTCTTGTAACAACTCGTTTTCTTCTCATGTTGAATTTTCATTTGAAAGGACACTGTTGTTGTAGCACTCTTAACCAGCCTGTAAACTGGCCAAAATTCATAATTTATATCAGTTTAGAGTTGTGGAGGTTGTTGAATTTTGATTGAAATAAGGACTGATTAATGTGAGACCACCACTGAAAACCTGAGAGCACTGGACGGCCGTTTCGTCTTAGTATGAAACTCAGCAGCGCAAAATCGTAGTTTATAGTTTGTTTCATTACATCGCGTTTTGGCATCCTTCAAACGTTTATTGAAGTACTACCGTAATAATGCCTCTCATTACTTATTATTGATCTAGATTCTAAATACTATAATAACCCTTACTGTATGCTTGATTGATTTTGAGTCCAATTATTGCAGTTATTCAGAATGTTTTGAGGTACATTTTTGTCAGAAATGTCATATTGACAAAAGTTGAAAGTATAGCCATATTTTTCTAAAGCCGAGCACCATTTCCAACTGTCAGACCCCACAATTTGTATAAAGTGAATCACCCTATTGTTAAAGGTGTAAGGCAAATTTACTGTGGACGAATTAAACATACCACTGCCAGGGAAGTCCTACTCGAAGCGGGGGTGTTGTTTATAAAATTGAGAGAACGAAAAGGGAGTGTCCGGCGCTTTAAGCGGGTTGGTGGACATGAGAGATCCATCTAGGGGAGTTGGGAAGCCCTAATTCCAAACTAATAGTGCATATGGACCCCCGAATCCTGAGGAAACAAAAGCGTATACACCTATTGTTGGTCACCGACTACCACGGGCCTTGTGAATTAGACCTCTAGTTAAAAGGCTCGGGGAGTGGTTCTCCAAGAGAACCAACTGCTTCGGTCTGGGAGTTCGAGCAGTACCCTAGCCCTCACACAAATCAAATGATTTGTGTGGTGCATACATATTTGGTGCCTTCTTGTACCAGTGTTTACGTGTTCTAATAAATATTGAAGATATGGTTGACAGAATCTTTTCCAAATTTATTTCCATATACCATTTAGGACCTATAGTATGGTTAGAAGGCTTTGTGTTATGTTCTTGTTCAGTCCAGTTATATTCCTCATCATGAATATATATCCTAGGAAACTTGCTACATCATTGGCTTCATTTGTTATTACTATTTCATGTTTCAAGTAAAAACACATACCATAAAGCTTAAATCAGTGTAATAACACTACCTAAATCCTTACCATTAATTGTGCTGTACTTTTCTTTGTATAGTATTTTCTTTTGAATTTATACCTACATAGGTACTTCGCAGAATCACACACAAAATTAGCGCGAAGTATGTTATCGGCATCACATCATCCTAACAAATGGTAAATTCTAAGAAGTTATTTGATTACACTAACTCCTTTCCAACCAATCAGGTATCCATTTGCTGTAACTGGTATCCACTTGACGAAGTTGTCGTACAACTTAGTGCTGAAGGGTTATCTAAAATATCAATTCTATAATATGTCTTCATCAGCCAGCATACAAGACTTCAACGAGTTTTACTGTAGGTGCTACCATTTTAGTTTTCGTAATTTCCCTACATTTATTTGTTTATTTATTTGAACACATAAATATTGGTACAAGCAAGAGGGCACTAAATACATATGCGCCACAAAAAACAATGAGAATTCGAAGAGAAAAAAGGTTAGGAGCGTGAAAAAAAGAACATTAACGAACAGATTAGTGTAAGGTAGTGTAATAATAATAGTAATAATGGGGGAAATGGAAAAGTACAATCAGAAGAATTCTTTCAGTCAAGGAAGAAACAACCATTTTTTATGAAGAAAGTAAAAGAAAGTTACAGCAGGATTGCCACTGGCTTCTATTCTGAGCCATATCTGATAACGTCTCTAGCCACTGCGTCACACCATCTCTCGGACCCCAGCCAGGGAGTCGAGAAGGACCAACACAAGCCAGTCCTTTGCAGCTCTTCTTCATCCCACGACACCATGTCATACACTGACCACCTCTCCGCTTCTTCCAACCAGACCCAGAGTTAGCAAACAATGCACAACGTGGAATTCTCTGGGAAGACATTCGTAGAACGTGTCCAAGCCACCGAAGTCGATGTTTCAAGATGGTGACACCAACTGGATTATCATCTCTGTGCCCGAACACACGATGCCGAACCTCCGCATTACTAACATGGTGTTGCCAATGGATGTCAGCAATCCTTCGGAGACAGCGATGATCAAACACAGAGAGTCGTCTAACATCCTCAATTTCCTTATGAGAAGAATGGTAGTCACTCCTAAAATATCTAAGTACAAAGGCAACCATGTACTTAACGTAGCACAAAGTACTGCAACCTATTAATAAAGTACGTGTTTATTTACTCGGCGTTAGTTTGAAATTTTTCGGAGTAGGGATATAACTTTACCACTCAAAATAAAATAGCACAAGTGGGGCTTGAGTCTTTGGTACAGGTTAAAAATAATGTATTCTAACATATAGGGTTCCACTCTAAAACTTACGCCTGTTACTCCTCGTGGAGTGGGATATATATATAATTTACACTTTCGATGCCGTTCATTTTTAGTTTACTTTTAGTCGACTGAATAAAACCTGATGTGGTTTTTTTAATTTATTTTCTCAATGAAAGCGTTAGATATGTGACGATATGTTAGTAAACGTAATTTTGGCAGTTTTCAGACCGGGTGACATTGATAAATTCTGAGCAAAAAAACCTTTATCTACCTAAGTTCTTCATATTTTGTGACTTAGTAATCACTTATAGATTCGCAGAGTTGCGTGCATTAACTTCACTTTTCAAAAGCTGATATTATTAGTTTGTTGTTCAACTCTTGGTTATTGAAATAAGTCCAAGACCGTTTATGTATTAGTTATCAGTTGAGTTCCTAAACTACGTTTGTACAGTAACTCATTGTCCCACGGCTTAGCACCCACCCAGAAAATCTACGTTTCCAAGTTCGATTATTACGCTTATATGTTTATGGAAAATGTCTGATGACTCATGAAATACTATTAAGGAGCAGTTACTGACATCTTGAATTTTAATGACTATTTGTTTTAGGACATCTGGTTGTTAGTTAACTATTGATCACTCATTTGCTACTTAATTACATTAGCGAATTAGTAAGTCCGGCACATGCTACTCATAATTCCGAATTTATTAAGACTACATTTGATCAGGTATGGTAGCAAATATTTTTCGTACTTCAAGCAGATTTTATAGTAACATACACATTCAGCAATTATATTCGATCTATGTGATAGTTTCAAAACTCATGCTGCAACGTATAGTCTTAGTTAACGGGATACCAAGGTATTTTATACGGAGTCAAAGCAGATAAGGAAAATGAATACTTCACAAAGCTAAGCGACAATACTCCTCTCTTTAGTAATCATTTAAAGGCTAATTTAAAAGAGCACAACACTGCACATAACCAAATCTTCTTACACTGATTAGCACATATGAAAATGGTAATGCTAGTCAGTCTGTTTAAAATGAGGTTTGATAGACTAATAGATTCAGTTCCTAAAATCATCGTTGGAAAATCTGGAATTAATAATTACTTAAGTTGAATAAGATTTGTATGTCTAGGGAATATTGCAGCAGTCGAATTAGCGGTTTGAAGTCATTCTATCCACATGCTTTAGTTTTCATTTTTAAAAAAGCATTACACTATGCAATTTTGTCTTATGTGCTCAATATTCATCGATTATCCTCTAAACAACATATGATACTTCGTGTAAGAAGTGTATATTGTTGATTATTTTAGCTTTATATTACTAGTAAGAACCTCAAAATCCTCATTCTCATGAGATCGTAGTTTTCACCAATGTGACTATATATTGCTAATAAATAGATATCCCTATGAAAAGGCATAACAATGTAATCAAGTATTATAAAAGAGTATCCCTAAGGCTTTTTGACCTAAAGCATACATAATTTCATCTGTGTATAAATTCTGCAATTTCTTCACAATAATATTATGAAGAAAATATTTAGTGTATTTGGTTACGAAATAACACGAATAATCAATTTAACGTTTTATTGTTTACAGTTCGTACTGTGTAGAGTTTAATTATCCTTGTTTTGGAATAAAGTACTCGGTGATCACTTAGCTTAATTGGTAAAAAAAAGAAAAGCTCTCAATAAGTTATAGCTGTCTAAATATATCGTTTTGAAATTATTTTTGTTCACCATTAATAGTTTTACTAAAAATGGATTGACAGTTAATGTTAAAAGTTTCTGCTTTCACAAAAAAAACCGAAGTCAAATCTTCAATTGATAGAAATGAAAAACTACCAAAATATCAAGCAACTTTCTTTAGCTCATTAAAGCTACCTCATTAGTTTTCCTTTCAAAAGTTTTACATCGACCCGTTTGAGCTCACTCTTAATGTTAAGTAATTAGAAATGATTTGGCATATATATATGTTCAAACCAAGTTTTTGTTCGAAAATCCGGTGTATCTCTCATTGTCACAGTGTTTTTTTTCATACTGTAAGACAACATTGCACAACGCTTGTGTGTGTTGATAGATTTCTTATGTACCATGAAGCTTGATTGTTGCTTGTTCGAGTAGCTATTTTCATCCACTATTTGTTAAAATTTAAAAGGTGAAAATGTTTCACAACAAATCTGATGACATAAAGGTATTCAACTTATCACATCATTGTATTGTATAGTGGTAACAGAATCATTTGATTATGACAACGAGAATTTCGTTTTATATGATCCGTCTATAATAAGTTTTGACGGTTCAAACTAACAAAGTGACTTTATAGATTAATCCTACGATTTGGATAAGTAGTTTTGTACATTTTTCTACAATTGACCTATTCATCAACTGATTTGTTTTTTATTTAAAATCCTTCTTGCTGTAAGTGATAGGTATGTAATGTTTTTGGTATAAATTAATAGAAATGCTTTTACTGGTCACTCTGACACCCTGATTATTGTGCTAAATCCATGAAAATTGTAAGAAGTAGAATCCTTTTATGTTTAATTACAAACCAGCTCATTCTACTATACATACATTCTTTTTCCTATCGTTTTTGAAACAGGCTATACATTTTATTCTTTCCACAAATTCTGGACGAAACACCCTCGTGATATAATGCAATTCAACAAATATTGTGACGATTTCGCGAGTAAATTGAAATGTCTTTTATTGGATGTAAACTGTAGATTATGTTTACCGGAAGATAAAATTTAAATGGTTCATGCGTAGCTATATTCCCGGCATTAGTAAGTAAACCACAAGTCATACGGGGAACTACATGTAATTAATGTGGTGCTAACTATGGTTAATTGTACCACAATATTTGTAATATTCACATGCTATTTTCTTTTCAATATTTTAGTATAATGATACCTTTTAATCCTTTAAAATGTGAAATCGACGAAATGAAATCTGTATTTATTCTGCTCCCATTTCCGTTCCTGTTTTATTCGAAGGCATAATGAAATCCGGTTATCCGAAAGCTTACAGTTACATCTGTTAAGTATTGTCTTTCTTCCTTCAATAGCTAATATTTTATGTTTATTTCTGTTCATATTGATAAAGCACATTTTATTTTCTAACTTTTATGAGTTGTTTTAAATGCTTAAAACAGAGTTGCTACCCATTTTCGACTAGTAAATACAAGTGAACAAGAAGCTACATAATTAGGAATCACAGTGCACTCAGTCTAGAAGACCGATTGGCTATTTAGGCTTTCACTGACCACAGCTCCGATGTTGAAAAAAAGCGAGTTCTATAGAAGGTCCAATAAGCTTCAAAAAGCTAAGCTCTCTGACAGATCAATCATAGAATGGATGGCAAGACTATAATTTATGGACGGACAAATGAGATTTAGAATAACAGGTCTTGGATTTCAGCGCGACATCCATTTAGCTCGAAAGCGTTTTGGCATTTAAGCTGATGTCAGTTCTGGATGGAAACCCTAAGTCTAGTTCTTAACCCTCACCATCAACTGTCAATCATAATCTTAATTCCCCACACTGGCCTATAACCCCCACTCAGCCCTATTAAATAAGTGAACGTCCTCAATGTGACTTTAGTGTCGTTCATCAATTATAGTTTCACTGAATAGGGTTTTCACGTCCAAGTAGAAAATGAAAACCAAGTTGAGCGACAATTGGGCGAGTTCATCAGTGAGGGCCCAAGAAATGGACAGAAGTGACCATCTGTTCCAACTATCGGATACAATACTCTCTACAAATCTGGAATGTCACTTCAGGATTGGCTCGCGTCATCGCCTAAACCAACGATAGGAAGTGTAGTTGAAAGCATCTGCCGCTTCACTTAGCTGCGAGGCGGCTCGGTTAGAAAGAGTACTAGATAAGTGCGGTAGATCGATCGACGAAGTAGTCAATTTTTATCAATTTATGTGGTTGGGATGTGTTACGTATACCTAGCCACCGCCTACCTCGACGGGCGAAGTTCTCTGGTGCAAGGTTGCCTGCAAGAAGGCTAGGGGCGGTCAAGTCAAAACATTGCATCAGTGCGTGAAGTCACTGACAACTGGATTGAACTACGTTGATAGGTACAGACTACCTGGTTGGGGTTCACGTGATTGTCGTAACCAGTAGTTAGACACCT